AGAATACTTTTAGTACTGCCTCAGGTGAAATAGAAACTCTGCTGTGGTAGTTTTAATGCAAATTTTGACACATATTCATCCAACTTTCCAGACCAGTTCAATGCCTGTTGGGGTCAGCCAGACTGGGCAGCTTTATTTAGTCAAATCTCCATCCGTGTCACTGTTGGGAGTCCCAAGGCTCTCTGAGGCCCACAAACCGGTCTTTTATTGCCCTAACTGCTCCTGAAGTGTGGGTCATGGAAAAAGTTCTGAGAGAAGAGAAAATTCGGGTTTGGGCAGGTGCTCTGCATTTACTAGCCACCCTACGCTGGGCAAATCCATTAAACTCTTCATCTTCTCACCTATAAATTGGAGCTAATGGTCATTGCCTACCTCAAAGGCTTGTTTTGGAGATCACATCAAATGAGATTAATTTATGTGAAAGCAATTTGGTGTCATATAAATGAGAGGTATTATCTTGAATGCTAATGAAGAGCTTACAAACACAAATGAATCATTCCATTTGATTTAAGAGGCAGCCAAGTAACTTCAAAAACCCAGAGCTTCAGCCAGACAACTAAACCCAGGAGTGAGTTAACCATCCAGGCCCTTGGTGAACAAACGACCGTCATCAAGTGAAACCAGGCTCGGTGCCCAACCTCAAGGACTCAGTTCTGGTAAGAGGCTCCTCTCAGAGACAGTGACCAGTCAGTACACCTCAAATGCAGAAATGGCCCCCAGATGCCCATAGAATCAGGTCCAACCACACTAGAACCTAGAGGTCCAAAGACACCACATTTTTCAGGTTCATCTCCTGCCATATCCTTAAAGAACCTAAGCAATGCCCATTCCTTGTCATGCCAAGTACTTTTACTTCTACGTCTTCATGCTCATGCTGTTCCTTCAAGCCCCTGTCTGTCCTCAAAAACTCAACTCTTCTTAAATCTGCAAGAAACAATGCCAGTGGGTCATATTCTGGGGTATAAGAGGAATACATTGTTTAAGGAAAGGTATTAGCTAGCATACAGGTAAAACAGCCTTTTTCTTAAAGCAGTAATAAAATATAACCCCCCCACCAAATGTCAATATTGTTTCCATGGTAGTGTTCCTGGTAAATACACTTAAAATTTGAGTCTTCGAAAAGTTGATCACAACGCATTTCAAGCTGGCTTCACCGAGTAATACCTGCCAAGATACAGTGAGTTTGAAGCCCTCGAAGGGCTTCAAATGAAAGGCGAGGCTGCTATGGACAGGAGAGAAATTCACGTGTCAGCTGCAGAGAAGTGGAGAGAATATTAAACTGGGGCTCCAGTCTGGCCTGACGCTCACTCACTGGGTGACCTCTGGCAAGTTCCATAACCTCTCTGGACCTTCATCCTCGTGTCTATAAAATAAAGAAAGTAAAGGGTCCCTTTTAACCCTCTCCTCAAGGCCTTGCACAAACGCACCTCCTGAAGGATATCTTCCCTGATCCTGCAAATCATGTGAGCAGTGTCTTTCTTTTTATTCCTACATTTTCCTTATATACTTTCATTGAACCTCCTGCACTCTACCTCATAGTTCATTGCTTACTATACTGTGTGAGCTGTCAGAAAGCAGAAGTATGTCTTATTCAACCCTACAAGACGCACAAGGTACTTGTTCATGGTGACATGCTCCATTCATTTGTAGATTTGAACTGAACAGTTGACTCTGCTGATTCTCAACTTGGTTCTGATTCCCCACTTCCTTTCTACCCTGACCACTGCCTCAGTCAAGAGTCACTGGTGTAGTGTTGGGTGAATCAGCACTGATCTGTCAGGACTGGAATGAGTGAGAGGGACAAGGGGTAGAGTACAACCTCAGACATGAGCTGTGGGCAGCATGTATTTGACTTTAGCACTCACAGTGTAAGGAAGGTGGAAAACAATGATAACAGCAAGAGCTAACTTGTAGTAGGCATGTACCCTGTACCAGGCCCTGTGCTAAGTGCTTTACCTGGACCAAGGTTCACAACAATGCTGGCAAGGAGGAACTGCCATCATTCCCATTTTGCAGATGGGAAAGCCAAGGCACACAGAGGTTAAATATTTGCTCAACAGTCTGGTTATGATCAGCAGCATGATTCCTATAATCAAAACCAGTAGTCTTACCATTCACAAAGGAAAAATTACAGCCACTACACACAAGATGACTGTTGTGATGTGAGTAGGTATAGAGAAGATAATAGGGGATACGGTGGGTCACAGGGAATAGGCAGAGGGCGTGGGAGATATGATAAAGATGAAAGAAGTCCTATGACAGGATTAGGTGTTGGTTACTGCAGTGGCTTCAAAAATTTTGATGGTCACAGGGATTATGGACCCAGACCAAGTGCTTATTAAGAATTTGATTCAGATAACAAATACAATCTCTGGGCAAGGACTTGGGGGAGGGTGTATCTACAGATCAAGTAGGGAAGTTCTTTAAATGAATAGGAATTATCAAGACAAAAAAGAAGAACTGAATGGATGATAAATCTGTACACAGTCAAGGAAACAGGGAAGCCAAAAGGGGAGACAACAGAGTATTTGATAACTCTCAGCTAAGGCAGCCATTAACTGGTTTGATGGAAGAGAATTCCATGGTCACATCATTAAAGTGTCCTTTGCCACCAGAAGACCTGAATTTATTTATTTATTTATTGATTGATTGATTGATTTTTTTTTACAGAGAGAAAGGGAGAGGGATAGAGAGTTAGAAACACTGATGAGAGAGAAACATCAATCAGCTGCCTCCTGCACACCTCCTACTGGGGATGTGCCTGCAACCAAGGTACATGCCCTTGACTGGAATCAAACCTGGGACCTTTCAGTCCGCAGGCCGACGCTCTATTCACTGAGCCAAACCGGTTAGGGCAGAAGACCTGAATTTATGAGAGAAGGTAGAAGTGGAAGTGGGTGGCAAGGCCATGGGGGATATAGAGGTCATGGAGGCTTTCAGGGAGAGGTGGAGACTCCAAAAGTGGGGACTGGGTTTGCCCTAATCAGTCATGTGGAAATATGAACTTTGTTTGAAGAAATTCCTGCAATCAGTGCAATGAGCCCAGACCAGAAGATGTTCGTCCCACAGGAGGTTTCTGGGGAAGAGGCTATGGTGGGGAGAGAGGCTACAGAGGTTGTGGGGGCTGAGGTAGAGATCGAGGCAGCTATGATGGAGAGAGGAGTGATTATGATGGGGACAGAGGAGGTGGTTATGGAGATCAAGGAAGCTATAGTGGGGACCGAGAAGCCATGGTGAAGACTGAAGTGGGAGTGGCTATGGTGGAGACAGGAGCAATGAAAGCTATGGAAGAGACCAAGGTGGCTATGGAGGCAAATGAGAGGAAGAAATGACTACAGAAATGATCAGCGCAACTGACCATATTGACTGTTTTGAATGTTCCTTTGTCTCTGACATGATCCATAGTGAAATTGCCCGAGTTTTGCTTGCTTCTTTCATCTTGCCTCTTCTTGGATAATGAAATGAAGTGGCATTTGAAATTTTATTTTGGGGGGAGGGCTGGGACAGTTTTTCTTTTAGTAATGTCCACTGAAATTTCCTTCTTTAATTCCCAGCTTTCTCCTTCCCAACACTTGAAGCTAAGTGTGTTGTAAAATATTGCCAAAATGGAGCCCTAGATGGTTTGGCTCAGAGGATAGAGCGTTGGCCTGTGGACTGAAGGGTCCCGGGTTCAATTTCGGTCAAGGGCACATGCCCAGGTTGTGGGCTGATCCTCAAATAGGGGGCTTGCAAGCGGCAGCCAATCAATGATTATCTCTCATCATTGATGTTGTTTCTCTCTCTCTCTCTCTTTCTCTCTCTCCCACTCTCTTCCTCTCTGAAATCAATAAAAATATATTAAAAAAATATATTGCCAAAATGGAAAGTGTTTTGTAATACTACAATAAATGCTGCTTGTTTTGTGGGGGATATATATATATATATATATATTTTTTTTTCCTTTTTCTTTTTTGCTTAAGGTAACAAACTAGGTAAGTCATGGGATCCATATCCAGGCAGTCTGACTCCAAAGTCCACTTTCTTAACTATCACTGGTAGTCAGTAAATGGCTATTATAAAGGCACTAGAGGCCCAATGCACAAAATTTGTGCAAGGGTAGGCCCTCACAGCCCCGGCTGACTCGGCCCTTGTAGCTCTGGCTTTGCCCAGAAGGTCATCCAGACAGTCGTTCTGCTGTTCGGCCGTATGGTCAATTTGCACATTATGCTTTTATTATTATAGATATTTACAACTGCTTAGTGCTCTTAGAGTCCCATCCATTCTCAAAACAGTTGATGTATAAAGCAACAATTCCTGGCCTTACTTGTTAAGATTAGTTATAAACACTGTTATTTTCTATACCACTTCTCTAGGAAATTATCATCTGATTAGAAAACTTCATTCTGTAGAATTATCAACTATGACCCCTGCATTTCAAAATGATGAGCCACAGGAGCAAGAGACAGGGAAAGTGGAAACAGACAAGCTGGGGTGACCCTACAGGGATATTCTCTTCACATTTGTACCCCTAGCACCATGTGGGATGGACACACGGTAGTCACTTAAAAGTTTGTGGAATCAAATGGTGTTTGTGAGAAATGTTGCTAACCTCATCTAAAATACTCATGGGGAAAGGAAAAGGAAACCAAAAGGTAGCAGGGGAACTAAAGTGAGTGAGTGTGTATGTGTGTGTGTGTGTGTGTGTGTGTGTGTGTGTGTGTGTGTGTGTGAGAGAGAGAGAGAGAGAGAGAGAGAGAGAGAGCGCCTGCTCTGGGCAAGGTACTGGGCACACAGCATGCTGATTTTAAGAATCAGGGTGGGGACGCCCAGCAGAGAGATGGACGATCTAATACTTAATGGCTGGGAGTGTACCTTTCTGAAAGACAATTTTGAAAGAGCTTTTAGAGGGGCTAAGGGAGGGGAGGGGGACAGTGATGGCAGCTGCAGTGGAGCAGGGATTGTCAGTAAGGAGGATTTTAATTTTTTGATTTTAGAAGAAAATCTAACTGCAAGATTCTTGATTATGCTTATACAACAAGGGACCAAGATTTATTATACCTGAAATTTTTTTTAAAATATATTTTATTGATTTTTTACAGAGAGGAAGGGAGAGAGATAGAGAGTTAGAAACATCGATGAGAGAGAAACACCGATCAGCTGCCTCCTGCACACCTCCCACAGGGGATGTGCCCGCAACTCAGTACATGCCCTTGACCGGAATCGAACCTGGGACCCTTCAGTCCGCAGGCCGACGCTCTATCCACTGAGCCAAACCGGTTTCAGCATTATACCTGAAATTTAATGTTGAATACCTAAAATATAGCCTTCAAAATAGCTTCCTCTTGTGTAGCCTTCCCTGTTACAGCTCCTCTGCAAAGACATCAAAATCATATTCACCTCCTCCTTGAGTGTTCCTTGTCAAAGATACCTGCCTACCTACCAGAGTCCCTCCCAAGAGCCCCAGAACACACCCAGAGGCCAGCTTCAATCAACATCAGAGCAGGATCTAATTAGCTTCACAAGCGGCATATACAAAGGAAGACCTTGGCAGGCACCAGACCCAGCTAAGAATTCTGCTTCATGTGTACAGCAGCTCACACACTGTGGTTGGGGTTGATCCTCACAGTCAGCCAGCCTGAGGGTTGAGCTGACACACAAACAGACCAATAACAACCAAGTTTCAATTACAACAAAAGGGCCCACACAGCCCACACAAGGGACATTCACAGAGCACCCAGCTCAGGTGACCAAAGAGACAATGCCCCTGGGTTCCTAGGGACACCTACTACAAAGAGCCACCCTACAAAGACCGGGAATCATAGCAGATTTTATTAATACATAGGAAAAAACAGGCAGCCCAATGAGGAAGACAAAGAGACATGCTCCAAATGAAAGAACAGGAGAAATCTCCAGCAAAAGAGCTAAATGAAAGGGGGCAAATGATCAGATATAGAGTTCCAAAAATGGTTATAAGGATGCTCAAGAAACTTAGTGAATACTACAAGGAACTCAGAACTACAACAGCATAAAAAAGGACCAGTCAGAAATGCGACTTCATGGACGGACCTGGAGAGTGTTATGCTAACTGAAATAAGCCAGTCAGAGAAAGACAAATACCATTATGATTTCACCAGGTAGAATCTAATGAACAAAATAAACTAATAAAATAGAAACAGAAACAGACTCATAGAGTCCATAGACTGACAGCTGTTGGCGGGGCGGTGGATTGGGAGGCTGGGTGAAAAAGGTGAAAGGATTAAGAAAAAAACCCCATAAAACTACAGAACTCAACCGGCCAGTGTGCTCAGTGGTTCAGCATCAACCTATGAACCAGGAGGTCACAGTTCGATTACCAGTCAGGGCACATGCCTGGATTGTGGGCTCCATCCCCATGGGAGGCGTGCAGGAGGCAGCTAATCAATGATTCTCTCTCATCATTGATGCTTCTATCTCTCTCTCCCTCTCCTTTCCTCTCTGAAATCAATAAAAATATATATTTAAAAAACACACAAAGAAGCCCTAGCTGGTTTTGCTCGGTGGATAGAGCATCGGCCAACAGACTGAAGGTCCCGAATTCAATTCTGGTCAAGGGCAAGTACTTCAGCTGCAGGGTCAATCCCCAGTTCTGGTCGGGGCCCATGCAGGAGGCAGCCAATCGATGTGCCTCTCTGTCTCTCCCACTATCTTCTAATCTCTCTAAAAATCAATGACAAAATTTCCTCGGATGAAAATTAACAAAAATAAAATTTTTTTAAAAAGATGTAAAAAGAATATCTTAAACACACACACACACGCAATATAATATTTAGATGATGTATAATAGAATTGTACAGCTGAAATCTATATAATTTTATGAACCAATGTCACCCCAATAAATTCAATAAAAAAGAAAGAAAAAAAAAGAAATAGCTTTTAAGTATATTTACTTATAGCAGTGGTTCTCAACCTTCTTAATGCCGCGACCCTTTAATACAGTTCCTCATGTTGTGGTGACCCCCAACCATAAAATTATTTTCGTTGCTACTTCATAACTGTAATTTTGCTACTGTTATGAATCGTAATGTAAATATCTGATATGCAGGATGTATTTTCATTGTTACAAATTGAACATAATTAAAGCATAGTGATTAATCACAAAAACAATATGTAATTATATATGAGTTTTCCGATGGTCTTAGGCGACCCCTGTGAAAGGGTCGTTCAACCCCCAAAGGAGTCGTGACCAACAGGTTGGCGACCCACAGGTTGAGAACTGCTGACTTATAGGCTAGTAATTTCACTCTGTCACAAACTACTATTGCTTAAGAAAATAATAATGCATACATAGTTGGGCAAAAGTAGGTTTACAGTTCATGACAATAATACAGATACTTAATACAATAATTAATAAACAAATAGTCCTAGCTGGTTTGGCTCAATGGGTAGAGCGTTAGCCTGCGGACTGAAGGGTCCCAGGTTCTGTTCTGGTCAAGGGCACATGCCCAGCCGAAACCGGTTTGGCTCGGTGGATAGAGCGTCGGCCTGCGGACTAAAAGGTCCCGGGTTCGATTCCGGTCAAGGGCATGTACCTGGGTTGCGGGCACTTCCCCAGTGGGGGATGTGCGGGAGGCAGCTGGTCGGTGTTTCTCTCTCATCGATGTTTCTAACTCTCTATCTCTCTCCCTTCCTCTCTGTAAAAAATCAATAAAATATATTTTAAAATAAAGAAGAAAATATTACCTTAAGTGAAATAAGCCAGTGACAAAAGGTCAAATATTATGATATTTGTATGTTTATTTATATGAAGTACAGAGTATAGTGAAGTTCATATAGAGAAACAATAAGAAAAATAGTAAAAGAGTAGTTACCAGGGAGGGGTTAAGGAGAGGGAATGGGAGTTAATGTTTAATGGATTGGAATTTCAATTTAGGATGACAGAAAAGTTCTGAACATGGATAGTGGTGACGGTTGCACAAAAATGTCATGTACTAATGCCACGGAACTGTACACTCAAAAAGGTTAAAATGAGAAAGACAGTGGCTGTCTCCTGATTCTCAAGTCAAGTTGCTGCAGTGGTTTCTGTAGACACTGTTTTATTCATTAACAAATACAGGGTGACTGCGTTTCCGTAGTGTAGTGGTTATCACGTTCGCCTCACAAATACAGGGTGAGGCAAAAGTAGGTTTAGAGTTGTTTGTATGGAAAATAAATATTTAATAAATAATAATACAAGAATAAACTCTGTATACCTTTCACATACTCACAAATGTAAACCTACTTTTGCCCCACCCTGTATTTGTTGAGAGCCTACTCTGTGTTAAGAGCCTACTCTGTGCTAGTCACGAGGCAAGGGACTGCTACAGAAGTAGATGGACCAGACATGCTCCTTGCACCTAAACACAGTGGGGCCTTGACTTAGGAGTTTAATTCGGAGACCGAGCTCGTTAAGGAGCTCGTTAACTCAAATTACTCTTATCAACTCAATGCAAAAAATCGGCTGAGAGACAGCTAGTATCTCAAAAAACTCGTTAGTCGGGACACTCGTAAGTCAAGACCCCACTGTATACAGGGGAGTAAGACACGAGACAAATAATCACACAAATGCATAAATAATTGCAAAATGAAGTAAGTGCTGGAAAAGAGGAGACCCAGTTGGTATGGAAGAACAACCAGCAGGCACTCCGGGGAAGCACCACAGAAGCTGAGTTCGGAAAGAGAAGGAAAAGCAGCCCAGGCTAACAGAGGGGAGGAAGAACACCTCTGGCAGAAGGGACAGCCTGTATGAAGGGTAAGAAATTCTACTGAGTATTTTAGAAGTGCAACATGGTTCCAAGGGAGTGCCCAGATCATTCCATTTTCTGCGAGGAGAACAGATGGGAGGAGTGCCGCAGAGTAGACTAGAATAGACTGGAAGCAGGCACACAAGCTGACAGGCTGCTCTGATGGTTCGATGGAAGCTGACGGGGCTTTGGGCAGAGTGCTGGTGGCGGAGATGGAGATAAGCGAACAGGTTTGAGAATTATTTGGGAGGTTGACTCATTAAGACGCAGTGATGGCAGGAGTAAGGAGAGGGAGGTATGAAGAATGACTCCAGGTTCCTGGCTTGAGTGGGTGGATAGTGGTGCCATTTACTGGGACAGAGAAGTACAAGGAAGAAGCAGGTTTGGAAAGAGAAGTTCAAGAGTTTGATTTTGGATGTAATACAATTTAGATCCCTGTAAACATCCAAATGGAGAGACAGAATAGGAAGATGGATATATTAGTATAGATTTGGGATTCAGAGAAGTGGTATGAATGAAATTTAAATCAGACGTTGATGCTCATCACTACCACTGAACTGTGTTGTTCTGGACAGGGCTCGAGTGACACAGTGTGGAAGGAGCAGTGACCTGGGTGGATACCTAGGGGATCCAGGTTCTAGCCCAGGGGTGGGCAAACTTTTTGACTCGAGGGCCACAATCGGTTCTTAAACTGGACCGGAGGGCTGGAACAAAAGCATGGATGGAGTGTTTGTGTGAACTAATATAAATTCAAAGTAAACATCATTACATAAAAGGGGATGGTCTTTTTTTTTTTTTTTTTTTTTTTTTTTAGTTTTATTTATTTCAACCGGTCCGGATCCGGCCCGCGGGCCGTAGTTTGCCCACAGCTGTATCTAGTCCCAATTCTGTCACTAACCACTCTTGCTGAACTTCAGTAACACAGGGGGTTGGCCTAGGTTGAGGCTTCTTTAGTCTTTTCTGGATAAGAATTACCTCTTCTCAAAAATGTAGACACACAAAAAATTACACATGGTTTCCAAGGTTTATTTAGTTCTTGGCACCTTTTTGTGGACCCCAAATAAGGAACTCCTATCTGACCAGACAACCAACGTTTAGGAGGCCTTCCTTGTACAGACCTTAAGGTACCCCTAGAAAACGATAGGCCTTGAACCCAGGAGAGGGGACACGGGGCCTGTCTCCTTATTCTTTGCCAAAAAATATCCATTACCATGAAGCTAGCCAGAACACAAAAAAGGCCCCAATCTACGTTTCAAGGCTGATCTTCTTTCACACGTCCTTTCTTCGTGGCCTGCGCCACACAAATGTGACTATACACATTCTCCCTTTTCTTGAATATCTCTCCCCCTTATCCCCACACATCCGAACGCCGCCGGTTCTTCAAGGCTTACAATGCTTCTCTATTTCCCCTACCCCTTTTCCCAAACTAGAAGCAACCTCAGCCTACTCCAAACATCCACAGCACTGTCTGTGTCCCTCTTAAGGAACTTACTGTGTTCTCCCTTGTATTACAGTTGTGTCTCTCCTCCTAAAAGGCAGGAGAAGCACCTGCTATCCTTTAAAAGAATGTACTCACATATCCCTTAGCTCATTTGAGTGAAAACTGGATCCCAACCACGCTGGTCTGATCAGACCTTGGTTTCTGGTTAGGCAACAGGCTCACCCACCTCCCACTTGTGTCCATTCTCCATACTGATGTTTAATTTTTTTTTAAATCTGGTTACATCACTTCTCTGAGTAATATATACATCAACAACTCCCAACTGCCTTCCTCAAAAGTTCTTAACTTCAGGGTGCCAACACACTGGCTAGATCTAGTGTGAAATGTCCAAAGTAGTTTCTCACTATTAATGAAGTACAAGTTAAACAATGGACAAATGGAGCAGTGTGAGGAGACGAGATCGACCCCCGGACCGAGCAAGACCCGGGCGCTGCTGCATCCCCGCGTCCCGCTCAGACGTCCCACCACCATCGTCATCATGCCCAAGAGAAAGGCGGAAGGGGATGCTAAAGGAGATAAAGCCAAGGTGAAGGACGAACCACAGAGAAGATCCGCCAGGTTATCAGCTAAACCTGCTCCTCCAAAGCCAGAGCCCAAGCCTAAAAAGGCCCCTGCAAAGAAGGGAGAGAAGGTACCGAAAGGGAAAAGCTGATGCTGCCAAAGACGGGAATAATCCTGCAGAAAATGGAGACACCAAAACAGACCAGGCACAGAAAGCTGAAGGTGCTGGCGGTGCCAAGTGAAGTGTGTGCATTTTTGATAACTGTGTATTTCTGGTGACAGTACAGTTTGAAATACTATTTTTTTTTTATATTTTATTGATTTCTTACAGAGAGGAAGGGAGAGAGATAGTCAGAAACATCGATGAGAGAGAAACATCGACCAGCTGCCTCCTGCACACTCCCCACTGGGGATGTGCCCGCAACCCAGGTACATGCCCCTGACCGGAATCGAACCTGGGACCTTTCAGTTCGCAGGCCGACGCTCTATCCACTGAGCCAAACCGGTTTCGGCTGAAATACTATTTTTTATCAAGTTTTATAAAAATGCAGAATTTTGTTTTACTTTTTTTTTAAGCTATTTGTTAGCACACAGAACACTTCATTGTTATTTTGTGGGGAAGGACATATAGTGCTACTAGAATGTCTTCAAAGCTGGACTGACATGGGGGGGAAATACCTTTCCCTTCTAGTTCTTTCTCTTGGTTCCTGGGAGGAGGCTTCTCTTGATGTTGACACACTTTAGCCATCGTGGCACAAACACCTTGTCATGTGGGAAAACTAAAATTCGTTTCTATGTCCTTCTCTCCCTCTTCACTTTAAGCATAGACTTTGGCTCTCGTAAGCCCAGAGACCTAAGTGGACCTGACCCAAAAAAATTGATTTCCAGTCGGTTGGGCAATCTGGACTTCCCAGAGTCACCACTGAGAGGGCCTCCCTCAAAAGAGCAGCAGTCCTCTTTAGACTGTGGATCTACAGATGGATATGCTCTGCCATTTTCATTTCCTGAAAGCCAGGGTCGGCTTGTGAAAAGTTGTTAAACAACAGGTTCAATGTGAAATGTCAACCCTCACTCTAAACTTTCCCTGTTCAGAGCATCAGATGGAGACTTCATTGGGTTTTACGGTGGCTTTCTGATTTTGGGAGTTCATTGAAGAAGGAAGTTGGAAAGTTGTTGTATACTGTTAACGATTGTCTGCCCCTGTCCTGCCTGAAATACTATGACTGTTTATGAAAAGTATCTTGAATAAAGCTGGATACAGTGTGGCTTGGGGAAAAAAACAATGTACAAATGTAGAACTTAGAATAGTGCTCAGCACACGGTAAGTGTTATATGGGTGTTAGGCATTACTAATACTGAAATTTTAAGACTTAACAAACAGATATAGCAGATGTTACACATCCCCCTGGCCCATTTCTTTTCTTTTTTCTTTAAAAAATTGTTTTTAATCCTCGCCGAAACCGGTTTGGCTCAGTGGATGGAGTGTCGGCCTGCGGACTGAGAGGTCCCAGGTTTGATTCCGGTCGGGGGCATGTGCCTGGGTTGTGGGCGCGCCCCAGTGGGAGATTCGCAGGAGGCAGCTGATCGATGTTTCTAGCTCTCTATCCCTCTTCCTCTCCCTTCCTCTCTGTAAAAGATCAATAAAATACATTTTTTTAAAAATTGTTTTTAATCCTCACCAAAGGATTTTCTTTTCCACTGATTTTTTTAATATATTTTATTGATTCTTTACAGAGAGGAAGGGAGAGGAAGAGGGATAGAGAGCTAGAAACATCGATCAGCTGCCTCCTGCACACTCCCTACTGGGGATGTGTCCGCAACCAAGGTACATGCCCTTGACCAGAATCAAACTCGGGCCCCCTGAGTCCGCAGGCCGACGCTTCATCCACTGAGCCAAACCAGTCAGGGCTCCATTGATTTTTTTTAGAGAGAGTAAAAGGGAGGGAGGAGGGAGGGCGAGAGAGAGAGAGAGAGAGAGAGAGATTGGTTGCTTTCCCCACATGCCTCAACAGGGGCCTGAGATTGAACCCTCAACCAAGTACATGCCCTTGACTGGGAATCAAACCCGAGACCCTTTGATCCCCAGCCCAGCGCTTTAACCATTGACCCAAACCGGCCAGGGCCCCATGGTCCACTTGTGATTTCAGCCCAGCTGCAGGGGACAGTTCTGTGCAGGTTGACGGCAGCTCTTCCCAAGGGCCCTATGGGTCTCCCTGCTTTTGTGCCTAGAGTTTCCTCTTACAAACTCACTCAGTTAATGAGCAGGGCAGCCTGGAAGTACAGGGGCATTCATAGGCATTAATGTTCTTTTTTATTTTTTATTTACTGAGTTTCTGAGAGAGAGGGAGGGAGGGAGGGAAGTAGGAAGAGAGGCAGGGAGAAGGAGAGAAACACTGAATTGCTCCACTCATCTCCGCATTCATGGTTTGGTTGTTGCGTGTGCCCTGACCAGGGATCCACTGTCAACCTCGGAGTATGTGGAGGACGCTCTAACCCTACCCAGCCAGAGCAGGCATTGATTTTCAGCTGATGAATTACCTGCCTCCCCTTCCTACGTTGCTACCAACTACCAACCTACAACTGCCAACCATGATCCAGGGTTAGATAACAGAAATCTTAACTACAGTACAGGGTCCGAATCCCTGGCGCCTTTGTAAACACCTTCCTGGGGAACTTCAGGCCTTTCCCTAGGATCCTCCTGCTTTGGGTCCACTAGCGCATGTTGAAAGGACAACACCTGAGCACCTGCTACCTGAAAAGAGTCAATGAGCTGGGGTGGAAAAGAAAACAGAGAAGGCAGGGTCATAGGTCCCAAGGAGGGGGTGCAGAGGGAGTGGAGGCGCCTTGAGCCTTTATTCATCCTAGGCGCTAAACCAGCGGTTCTCAACCTGTGGGTCTCGACCCCTTTGGCGGTCGACCCTTTCAGAGGGGTCGCCTAAGACCATCCTGCATATCAGATATTTACATTACGATTCGTAACAGTAGCAACATTACAGTTATGAAGTAGCAACGAAAATAATTTTATGGTTGGGTCACATGAGGAACTGTATTTAAAGGGCCAATCAGCCTTCAGGAGAGACTCAAGTGCCTCCAGCCGCACTCACCGCACAAGCGGAAAGAGAGGCTGAGCCCGCGCAGGCGCACGGAGGAGGCGAGCATTCCCTCCCAGGCTCACCCACAGCCTCTCCTAGACGAGGGCCAGAGGGAGAGCACAGTATCCCGCACGAGGAGCCTCTCCTCGGTGACCCCTTCTTCCTCGTGAGGCTCTCTGACCGCCCTAGAATGGTTTGGGAGCCCAGTTTCTGAGGCCGTCAGGCAGCCCCTCGCTACCGGCCCAGGGCCCGGCCGAACCTGGACAGCGGTGCCAGTCTAGGCGCCAAGACAGAAAGGGCCGCCCGACCTCCCGGGACCGGCCCTCCTCACCACCATTCTCACCTCTTTGTCCGCCGCCTTCTCCTCAATGCCTAGCAGCGCGTACAGGTCCATCTGTAAGAGCTCCTTGGCCACCGACATGGTTCCAACCCTGACCGGATTCGTACTACAACTCCCAAGAGTCTAAACGTGCGCGGGACTCTTCCGGAACACTGTCGGCCCCGAGCCGCTAAATGGCGCTTAGCCCCCTGGGAAATGTGTTCTGTGTCAAGCTTGATTGCCACTGAAGGAAGTGGGCTGTCGTGAATGAACTACAACTCCCAGCAGCCCTCGCGCCCGCCGCTGTTGCTCTCCAACCAGGATGGCCGGTAGCGATTTCCCTGCGGGAGGCCGTGGCAGGCTCGCGCGAGTGGGTGTGAGGGACAGGGGCGGAGCTGGGTGAAGGTCCACGGGCCCCGTACCTCGCGGGCGTGATCGCAACTCTGCCGGCCGTGCCGCTCCACGCCGGGAGCCAGGATGGAGAGCAGGTGCTACGGCTGCGCTGTCAAGTTCACCCTCTTCAAGAAGGAGGTGAGCCTTCTCTCCCCGTGGGCTGGAGGGCCAGGGAGAACGCGGAGTGGAGGGAAATACACGGGACTTGCAGCCCATAGACTGCCTTCCAGCCTTTTCCAAGGTATGATTCTCAGGATTGCTCCTTAGTTCCCATTTCTGTAAAATGGGGCTTGCACTCCCTCGCTTGCCGGTTGGTGTGGGTCCAGCGAGGTGCTGGAGGGAAAAGCTCTCTGTAAAACTGTAAGGCGCGCTCCTGTGGGTTTTGGAAAGCTAGACTTTTCTGTCTGCCGAGTGTAGGGTCCGGCTGTTTCCTCCCCCTCGGTCCTGCTGCTTCTCCGCCGCCCTGTGCCCACTCTCCATCACGCCTTGTCCCGTTACTCCCTCTGCTCTGGAGCCCTCGCCGTCTGGCAGCCTGCCCTCCCGGGTTCCCTCCGTTAGGTTCCCGACCTTTCCCCTGCCCGCAGGGCTCCGTGGCAGAGCCTTTCCGCCCTCCAGCACAGACCCACGAGTTCCCCTGGTAACTGCAGGCCGGCTGTGCCCCAGCAGTGACTAGAAGATAGGAACCACACAGGGTGAGTGAAGCACGTAGGGAGGCAGGTCCGTGCAGTTCTTGGAAACCTGGGTTTGGGAGGCAGGGTGGTCAGCGTTCACATTTGAGCTCTGATGCCTTATTCAGAGGGTGACTTTTGTTTGGGCAAGTCATGTAACCTCTCCGACCCCCACCTAAAATAGGAACAATAATGCTGGGCATCAGGATTAAGTAAAATAGTGTGCAGACACTCTGAGGATTAAATCAGCTGAAGAATGTTAAATACTGAGCTTAGCGCCTGACATGCAGTCAGTGCTTAATAAATGGAGGCTATTGTTATGGCCCCATCCTGAGCCACGCCTCCCTCCATCTTGCTGGAGCAGAGAAGGCCTGAGCTCTGCACTTTCTCTGATTCTCCGTTGTTGAGGAGTCAGTGACCAAGGGGCTTTGCCTGTTTGTCTTCTATACCCCGGTGTCAGGAAGTTGAAGACCGGTTAGACAGAAAGCATGGAAATTTTGTATGAAGCTTTCCCTGATTTGAATAAAAGACTGGAGATGGAGGAATCACTTTACTCCACCCTTGTGTCTCCCCAGGCCTTAGGGTCCCCGCCCCTCATCCTCTTCTCAGCAGCTGTTCATACCTTCAGTGTCGTCTTCTCTCGTCTAGGTGCTCAGAGAGTGCCAGGGAGGAGCCTGCCTGAGTGGTTGGGACGTGGATAACCCTGCTTCGTGTTTCTTGTAGATTGGCTGTAAGAACTGTGGCCGGGCCTTCTGTTCCAGCTGCCTGAGCTTCAGTGCAGCGGTGCCCCGGGCCGGGAACACCCAACAGAAAGTCTGCAAACAGTGCCACGAGGCCCTGACCAGGTGAGAAGCTGACAAGGGCGAGGACTCAGCCCACCACGGCAGCAGGCAGCTGGCCAGCCCTGGTAGCCTGTGCTCTGTGGCCCGAGGTCCGCTCAGGAAGTGTTTGGGGTGGGGGCACTGACTGGCAGATGTCAGGGCTTCTGAAACCAGATTTCTTCTCTATAGAGGATCTTCTCCTGCCAGTGCCTCCAAGTGGTCACCACCTCAGAACTATAAGAAGTAAGTGCTGAAGGGACAGAGACAAATGTGGATGGGGGAAGGGCAAGGAGCCCCAGGGACGGACTCTTCCCAGCCTCTCGATCAGATGAACACAGGGCCAGGAGACTATCCGTCTTGAAGGCTCCTACCTGCCCTCCTGGGATCAGAAAGCAGCTCAAGAGCCCTCTCCCCAGAAACAGTTCTTGATACATATGCTTTCTGTTGGACCCTCTGGCTGGGCAGCTGGGTTGAGCTGCAGGCCAACATGCATGAGGACCACAGAAGACTGTCCATGGGAGGCCTCCCTAGATGCCTAGAAATGATTTGAATGGGGAAAAGTGAGGGGGTGCCTTCGCCCCACCCTTCTGCCTTCTTCAAGAGTCTTTATCTCATATCCTGCCAGGCGTGTGGCAGCCTTGGAAGCCAAGCAGAAGTCCAGCACTCTCCAGAGCCATGGACTGACCCCACAAGACCAAGTCATCGCTGAGCGCCTAGCGCGGCTCCGCCAGGAGAACAAGCCCAGTGAGCAGGGGCAGGCAGGGCGGCCTAAAGCAGCGGTCACCAGCTGGGGGTCTGCGGACCACGGGTGGTCCATGAGGTCCGAAAGGTTGGCGACCGCTGGCCTAAAGGACACTATCTGGGGTTCCTGGGACTGGGATTCCTCTGGACCTTACAGATTTCCCCCATGCCAATTGCAGAGTCAGTGCCCTCACAGGCAGAGATAGAAGCCAGGCTAGCCGCACTGAGGGCCGAAACCCAGAGTTCCATCCCTTCCACCCAGGAGATGGAGGCACGACTTGCCGCACTGCAGGGCAGAGTTCCACCTTCTCAGACCCCCCAGCCGGTGAGTGCTGTGGCTTGAGAGGGAAGGGGGTCCTGGTACATGTGTGCTTATGTACTCCCGTTGGAGCTGGCAAGCCTCTGACTCCCACCCCCGATCCTCAGGTCTGCCGCCAGGCCAGGGAACCCCCTCTGGTTGGGGATGGTCAGACCTACTCAATTATGTGGGCCCTGGATTAGCCCCTTTCCTTGAGCTTTGGGGACTCCTCAGCCTTCACTGACAGAGACTGCTCTGGACCTTATGGTGTGGCTTCCCCATCCTGATCCCCACTGAGTTCCCTCCTCTGAGCAGGCGCATCAGCCACCAGACACCAGGACCCAGGCCCAGCAGGCGCAGGATCTGCTGACACAGCTCACAGCAGAAGTGGCTATTGATGAGAGCTGGGAAGGAGGAAGCCCAGGTAACTTCTCCACCTGGGCCCCAGGGACCTGCCCTCCTTTCTCCCCAGGTGGGAGAGGCTCTGCGGCCCACTGGGAGGTGAATATATGTAAATCAGAGAACAATCAGCATTATAAGAGCTACCATTTATTGAGTGTTAACTTCTATGGGAGCCAGTGTAAGCCTAGTGGATAGTGTGTGGACTTTAGAATCAGTCAGTGATTCTCTCTCCTTCCACTTACCAGCTGTGTGATCCTGGGAAAGTCTCACTTTCCTCATCTGTAAAATGGAGGGGTGTGTGCATGTGTGTGTGTTAAAACCTACCTTGTGGGGAAGTTTGGAGGAATAAATGAGATGATCCAATAAGTTCTTAGGACCCTGCCTGGCTGTAGTAAGTGCTCAGTGAGTGTTCTTTGCAATGATGATGATAAGGAGGAGGAAGAGGCTACTTAAATTTAATTAAAATTAAATAAAATGTAACATTCTGTCCCCTCAGTGGTACTAGCCACATTTCAAGTGCTCAGTTCCACATGTGGCTCATGGCCACCATCTTGGACTGCACAAATATAAACCATGATGTGGAATGTTTCCATCATTATAAAAACCATATTGGACTGTGCTATTCAAAGGCTTCCAAGCAGTGGTTCTCAACTAAGGATGATTTCCCCTCCGTGGCCCATTTGACAGTGTCTGGAGACTTTTTAGTTGTCAAAACTCGGAATGTACCACAGGCATCTAGTGAGCAGAAGCTAAGGATGCCGCTAAAACATCATGTAATGCACAGGACAGCCCCACAGCAAAGAATTATCCTGCCCCAAACGTCAATAGAACCACCATCGAGAAGCCCTGCTTTAGAGACACAATCTCATCGAACATCCTCAGTAATCCTATAGGTACATACTCTAATTATCCATATTTTATAAATGAGGCAACTGAGGCCTGGTGAGCTAAGGGAACTTGATCAAGATCACACAACCGTTAAATAACAAAGCTAGGACTTGAACCCCAAGCTGTCTGCTTTCAAACCTTTTGGTCTGATAGTGAGCTAAAGGGAACATGTCAAAGCCACACCCACTCTGTCAGAATTCCTCCAGCCTCGTCACTTATATGTAAGACCTCAGGGTCTGCCATGTCCTCTCTCTGCTGCTCCCGGGACATGCTGGTTCACCTGTAGGGCAGAGACACTGGCTGGACTTTGGCCTCCCCATAACCTGATTATTTGGGACACTGATTCTCAGACCATTTTCCCCCCAGTATAAAACACTGGTAATCGTAGCGGTTTTTTCCAACTACATCCATCCCAGCCCACCTGATATTTCCTTTGTAATATAAACCACAGAGCTAGTGCTGAACAGAAAGCTGATGCTCTGTAGGGATTTATAAAATGTTGAGAAATGGGCTCAGTGGCTTCTGATGAGAGATCTTGGAATATCTCTGCCCCCCTGACTGCATTGCTCCTTCCAGCTGCCGCTATTCAGAATGACCTCAACCAGGGTTGGCCAGGAGGCCTGAGTGCGAATTCCAAGGGGCAGGCCACCCGGTCCCTGGATGGGGAGAAGAGCAGGCTGCTGGCCGAAGCAGCAGTCGAGCTGCGGGAGGAGAACACAAGGCAAGAGCGGATCCTGGACCTTGCCAAGCGCCTGGCTGTGCTTCGGGGACGGGACCCTGACAGAGGTAGAATCTGGGGAGCAGCCCCCACACCCAGGCCAAGTTCTGTGAAAGGGCTGCCGGGGAGTTGGGGGGTGTCTCTGTGTCCGGGGGTCTATCGAGCTCTGCCCAGAGCCACCAGGAAAGTACTGGAGCAAAGCAGTGGCTGAGAAAAAAGTGGCAGCCGTCAGGGGGCAGGGGACCCCTAGTCCCTTCAG